TGTGGTATAGAAGCAAAGGTGCTAGGTGTGCACATGTCTCTAGGTGAGGGTCCAGTCTACTCCATGGGGTCACTTGGAAATGACATTCATGTGGAACTGAGATTAGCAGCAGTGGGAGCAGCTACTTATTCAAGGAGATTTTAGAGGAGCCGGGATAATACAGGAGCTGAAAGAAGCTCAGTAATCTTGAGGATAGGAATATATGCAGTCATGTGCATCCCTTGATACTCTACTGTACTTGCTTTGAGAGCAAATACAATTCTTCAGTCACAGACTGCTCTGAATAGGCAATCTATTCTCACTTTAGCACTATGGCAATGGTTCTAAGATATCTTTCAGCTCAGTTTTTGAATATAAATTTGAGTACACTATTTTATGTTTCATACAGCAGAGCAGTGTAGGTAAATAATAGCATTTTGGTCCCCAGCTTTCCTGAATATATTATAAACACGAGCTGCTTTATTCTATTAAAATATTTTAAGAGGCATATGGAAATTCAGCAAGTTCTAAATCTTGTGGGAAGTTTGTTTGGTTGGAGGTGGAGAAATATCTACCAAAGTAAGATCAACAGTGATAAACTGTGGCCCAAGAACTCATGCATCAAAATAGCTAAAATAGCTTAATGATAGCAGAGAAGAAAAATAAGTAAACTAGCTTAGCATACACACACACACACACACACACACACACACACACACGTTACATGCACTATTTACTAAACAAACAAAAAATATTATAAATTAATTGCTGTCTTTACAAAATCATAATGGCTAAGACAATTTTCACCATCTTCATTAATTTCTGACAATATATTGTCAACCATTGGTGGTCTTTTCTTTGTTTTGGATAAGTGACTGACTTCCTCTCCATATTCAGCCATCTCCCATCTCTTCACTGAACTTCATTTTAAATAGGAAATTTTGCCTGTAAAAAATGTTACTAAAGAAAGCCCTTGCTTCTAAGCTAACCAAAATGTTTCTAGAGAGGAGAGACATATAACTCATAGGGGTAATAGCATATTTATATTCTTAATAACCAGAGATAGTAGTCTTATTTGAGTTATACTTAATGTATGGTGAGTCATCATCTAATTTCCCTGTACACCTAAAAATCATGGAAATAAGACTCACTTGCATCATCAATCAGGCCTCTATCCAAGTCTTTTAGCAATTATGTTTGGATTTCACATGTAGAAAGGTGAACAAGAGAGAATGGATTTATACTGAGGCAGCTTATATGGTATATTATTTTAGAGCACAAAATGTGATGTCAGAGATCTGAATTTGTCATTTACCGGTTGTGCAACTTAGGACAAAGTAACCACTTAATACTGTACTTTGATTTTTTTCATCTCTCAACTATGAATAATAGTTACAAACTTCTCCCATTTTAGTTTAAAATGAAGTGATACATGCAAAGTGTTTGGCACAGGACCTTGCACATAACATATTTTGGCATTAAGTGGTACTAGTTATTCTCTGTTATTGTCTGTCTTGGTCTTTGTCCTCTGGGAAGTTGAATTTTGCCATCTGGATATGGCCAATGGGAGAGGTCGGCAAGACATAAGCGACTTAGAAGAAAGGGGGCTATTTATGGATGGGCTTCAACTTTGGCACTAGCTACATTCCTTCACGTGTGAGCACACTCCAGTCCCACATCCGTCCTCCATAGCTAGAGTTCGTAGTCAAACTAACACAGTCGCCCCCTTAGGCCTAGGCGAAGTTCATGGTCTTTCCTCTCACTGTTGCCGCAGGTGCTTTCTTCCCACTGCTGTTTGTTCTAGGTACTCCACCCTCTTTTCTGATTCTCTTAAGTCCTCTAAGCTGCCCATTTATGAAACTTTCTTCAGTTCAATCCTTTATATTTGCCACTAGTTTATGCTGGGGTTTTGGCATACGTAAAATAACAGTAAAGACTTTATTTGGACATAAAGGAGAACATCTTTCTTAAAGGGTCATTTCACTAAATGTAGAAAGAGGCTAATACAAGAAATTCTAAATTTAATGGGAAGTTGATTGGGATGGTGATCGTTTGTTTTTCTGATGTAAACCCAGCTTGAAGGCTATGGAGAGTTTGCTTAGATGACAGGGGGTGGTGGGAAGGAAGGGTGGAGTTCTTTTTTAGATGCATAAAACAACAAGATCTTATCTGCAGTGGCAAAATGAGCATGACAATAATGGAGAAAGTAAGGAAAGATAATCGGCCATAATGGGCAGTTTATGCTTAAGGGTTTTTGTAGGCAGAATAATGTTCTCCCAAATATGTCCATGTCCTTAGCCCCGGAGCTTGTGAATATGTTATCTTAGATGGTAAAAGGGTTTTGGCAGATGTAATTAAGTTAAGGATTTTAGGATAAGGAGATCATTCTGGTGGGCCCAGTATAATTACAAGGATCCTTAGGGAGATAAATAGATCCAGAGTCAGAGAAGTAGATGTGACGACAAAATTCTAGCCTCCTGCTTTTAAAGATGGAGAAAGAGTCACAAACCAAGGAATGCTGGTGGTCTTTAGAAGATAGAAAAAGGAAGGAAATCGACTTTTCCTTAGAATATCCAGAAAAAAATGCAGCCCTGGTGATTTTTGCACTTTTCACCTATATAAGTGTAAGACAGTAAATTTATGTTGTTTTAAGCTGGTAAATCTGACAATTTGTTACAACAGAAATAGGAAACTGATAATGAGGTAGAAGGAGATAGAGAATGCTGGATTAGGGTAGTTAGTTGAGAATTGTAGATTTTATCTTAACGGCAACAAAGAAACACCAAGGATATAATAAAAATATGTATTAGGAAAGTGAGTTAGAGCTTGGGTCAGATGGGAGATCAGAAGGCGAGGTCTACATTAGTGTGCCTGGATAGGTATGGTGATGCTTCTCCAGATTAGGTATGTACTGATGAGAAGTCTCCACATATGAAAAATTAGGGTAAGGAAGAGCTGACAGAATATGATGATTGATGGGGAAGACAGCAAAGGAAAGAAGCAGCAAAAAATCAGATCCTTAATGTTGTGCTGTGAAATGGGAACAAATAACAGCACATATGAAGAGCAATAGGCAATAACTTTTTTAAATTCTAAGTTTCACTAGGATTGAATTACACATACACACACAGTAGAGATTTTTATATTATAATTTAGAAATATCCATGCATTATTTTCTTTTAAGTCCCTTCCTGGATTCAGCAAGGCATATTACACCAATATATATATAAAATTTTAACTTGTTAACTTTCTCTGTTATCTTAATGCTTTTTTTTTTCTTAAAGAGACAGTTTTGCTCTGTCACCCATGCTGTAGTGCAGTGGTGCGATCATAGCTAACTGCAGTCTTGAACATCTGGGATTAAGCAATCCACCTCAACCTCCTGAGTAACTGGGACTACAGAAGTATGCCACTATACCCAGTTAATTTTTTTAAAATGTAGAAATGGGGCCTCACTATTTTGCCCAAACTTCTGGTCTCAAGTGATTCTCTCACCCCGACCTTCCAAAATACTGAAATTACAGGTGTGAGCCAGTTGGCCTGCCCTCATTCTTGTCATTTTAGAGGATATGAAAAACTTATTTGATCATTTCTGCACCAGAGACTGCTTATTTGGTCAAATAAAAAAGGCACGATTTGAATAGTTAGTATACTACTGAATTCAGTTTTGCATAACAACAATAACAAAATGCAAACAATCTTCAAAAATTGGAGTTGGACAGGAATCATAGGTCAAATATGTATAAAACTTAGTGTCAGTAGCTGGTAAATTAAAGCCACTCACTGGCCGTGATGCAGTTCAGAAGTTAGCACTGTTTGGATTATTGGACATTTCCTGAGTAGTAAAAAATGTTTGGATGAAAAGCCAGTGGCTCATTATTAACTCTCTTTACACCACCTCACTGTGGAAAAAAAAAAAATTCTGCTTGCTAATCCACACTTAACAATGATTGGCCATTCAAGGCAGGTCTAAAGTGGCTTGCTTCTCCCCTCCCCATTTTTAATGATAAAAAATGCTAAATTAACTAGTACTGATAAGCGTGACAGCAGTAAAAACACAGAACAACTGAATATTAATGATATGCTAAAGCCAACCATTAATGAAACCACTCATCAGATAATTTTTTCTTTCACACAGCTTCTATCAGTGCTATCTTTTCTATCTTTTTTTTTTTTTTTTGTACCCATCTGCCTTCTTCCCTTGTTCACCATTTCAACTGGTATACCCTCCTCAATCAGTAACTGGTAAAAAAGATCTGATCAGGGGTTTAATCATTTGGAAAAATCTTAGATTGCTATAATTCAACCTTTTTCTCCGTTATCTATAACTTTGCATCTCCACTGTGTTTGTTAAGTCTCTTCCCTAAAAATACATGTTTATACACAGTAACAATACCACATTTTGCATCTTTTAAAAAAGACTTTTAAAAGATGTGATATTTACAGAGTAAATGCCACTATTCTTTTCTGCATTTCAAAATTTTTCTTCTCTTGGATGCTAACATAGAAACATCATTTAGGGACAAGCAGCAGTTTTGCCTTGCATCCCTCTCTTTCCTTGTTTTGCAGTGGAAAATATCCTAAATACTAGATGGCAAGAAAGTGCAATAATGTCCACTCTAAACAACCCGAGGGTAGGAATTTTGCATATAAATCGTGCGCCCTATAGGTATCATCCCTCTCAAAGAGGAGGAGAAAGTCCTTCAGCAAAGTTTTAAAACACAATGCATGCTGCTAAAACAACTTTAATTTGAAAAGTCCGTTCTATCTTGTAAAGTTTTCAGCACTGCCCCGCTCCTACCCCTGGGATGGAGGGGTTTGAAGCGACACCAAAACGAATTCTATCAACACCCAAACGCGAAGCTCCTTTCTGCGCTCTAAGCTGGCCCGACTCCCCGGAGTGCCCGACAGTGGACGGGCGCTCCCTCCTCCTCCCCGACCCACAACTCCGAGTCCCTCCCTCCCGGCTCCAAGCCCCGAACCCGCGCAGGAGATGCCCAGAGAACAGCGGAGTCGCTCACCGGTGAGGATCCAGCCGCAGGCGACAGCGACCCCGGGGCTGGCGCGGCGCCGGGGGGCCATGGCCGGGGCGGCCGCAGCGCAGAGGTACGCGCTGGCGGGGAGCGCAGGACGCGACGGGAGCAGGCGCTGGCGCTGCGCGCGCTGTCTGGGCCACTCCGGCCGCGACCGCGGTTCCCAGTCTTCGGCCCAGCCGGCCGCCGCGCCCGGGAGCGCGAGAGTGATTTCCTGTGTTTTCGTCGAACGCCTCTAACTTCGCTCCACGCTGTTCACATCCCAGACGGATTGCCCCGCCGCCCGCCCCTTCGCGCTCTGGGTCTCTGAAATCCCTCTGGCTCTGTCCGAGACATGGACAAATAAAGCCAGCTGCGCGGATCGGTGTTGAGGCTAAAGTCCGAGGGTTCCCCAGCAAACCTTAAAGGGACATCTGCCTTTCATTGAGAGGGTGATCCCGCAGTCTGTGCCAAATCCCTAAGGTGGTAGGAAGGCGGTCACGGGCTGGACCTTCGGGAGGGTGTCGCCATCCCGGTGGCTCCGCCTCCACACCCCTTGCTTCTCCTGGTTCTGGGCAGGGAGAGCGCTTTGACAGTCAGTGCCCGGGCTCCTTAGCCCTCAGGGGTGGCAGCCTCCCGGGGGGTTCGACTCCTAGGACCGAACCAGGCCGTCTGTGAAAGCGAGCAGACCCGTGGTTGCCCCTTCCCTCTCCTGCGGACACTTGAACTTGACTGTGAAGTCGTCTCGCACGAAAGGGGGCGTCCCCACTCCCCCGGCACGCCCCGCTTGAGGGCTTTGCTTTCGTTTATGGAGGGTTTGCTTCCTTTATGGTGATTCGTGGTTAAAGGTGGTCGCAGATCCATTTTTCTTTTGGAAGACTATGATAAGGCGAGGAAAGGGGAAACAGAGGAAAAGAGGAGGAAAAGAGGAGGCAGGAAGAGACAAATCCGGGGGGGAACGGAGAGGGGCAAGGAGGGAGGAAAGCCGTCTCTTTAGAAATGGAATGTGTGTGGGCTATTTTGTTGAAGCCGAATTAGGATGTTTGTACACAGGGAATTGAGTCTAACAAAGAACTTGAGGCACTGCTTCATTGTTTTCTCGCTGCAGACTTTTATGTGTAAAACTGCATTAACTCGTGTTCATGGGATTCTTTTCTGAGAGACAGGGGACAGAAGTGCCTAGGATTTCACAGTGCTTCCCTTGCCTGGTGAGTTGACAACCTCCCTGAGTCCAAAGTCAAGTATTCAAGCTAAAATGAATACTTGCTCATTTCAAAGTAGAGATGTGTCTTAGGAGTTTTGAGAATTTCAAAGAACAGGAAGGAATAGATGAGTGGATTTCTGTTTAGAATGTCTGGGGGAATCAATTCAATTCAACTCCTTTTTTTTTTTTTTTTTTTTGAGTTGGAGTCTCACTCTGTCGCCAATGGAACTACAGGCGCACGCTTCCACGCCCGGCTGATTTTGTGACTTATTGTAGAGACGAGGTCTCGCTGCCCAGGCGAGTCTCGAACCCGCGGGTTCAGGCAATCCACTCACCTCGCGGGAATACAGGCTGAGCCACTGAGCCCGGCCTTTTTTTTTTTTTTTGAGTTGGAATCTCACTCTCCCCCAGACTGGAGTGCAGTGGTACGCTCCCGGCGATCCTTCCGCCTCAGCCTTCCGAGTAGCTGGAACTGCAGGCGTGCACTACCACGCCCGGCTATTTTTTGATTTATTGTAGAGATGAGGTTTTGTCTGCCCAG